GTCATTCGCGCGCAGACGGTCTGCGTTCATTCATTCAGCGCGTGTTTCTTTTCTCCTCAGCAGAAGCGGGCGAGATGTGTGTGGATGAGCGCGCTGGAAAATCTCTTTCTTTCAGCAAATCTCAGTTTTTGATTGTTGAGGAGAAAAGCAGCGCTCTGAGATCACCGGAGGACTCGCTCGGTACTGCGCCGACGGATCTCTCTCTCTCTCTCTCTCTCTCTCTCTCTCTCTCTCTCTCTCTCTCTTTGTGTTTCTTCGTCGTCCTTACACGCTGTTCAATGTCACAGCTCGACAGATCACATACACACATAGGATATAAAATGTCATATTTTTCACCTTTTAAAACCTGCCAGCTGTTCAATCAGACGACCATTATTATTCAAATAAGGATCAGTTGGGAATTAACTGTCCCTATACCTATTATACATATATAGGGGAGACTGGGGCTAGTTGTCACAGGGGCAAGTTGTCACAAGGGCTTCTCTAGCATGTTGATTTCAAACACTGGGTTCACAACTGTCATAAATTCAGATTTTTTTTGTTAACTCTCATTTAAAATTAGCCTACAAATGCCATAATATTTTTGAAAAGCAATGGGCTAAACAAGGGAATATAATACACATATCACACTATGGAAGTAGATTTTACTAAAAGGATTTTTAGTAAAAGGCTTTACTGTGCACTCATGACAAATATATTTTTCACAATGGCAGGTTGGGGCAAGTTGTCACATGTGCTTATGTGTTATGGCCACACCTAGCCTGTTTTTTCTGTAGTGCACTTATGTTGTTTCATTCATTTTTTTCATAATTTTTCTGCTATTACATTTTTTCATTTTAAATACTTACTGTATTGGGGAAAATATTTATTTGATCCCCTGCTGATTTTGTAAGTTTGCCCACCTACAAAGAAATGAAGGGTCTGTAATTTTATGGTAGGTTTATTTTAACGGATAGAGACAGAATTATATCAACCAAAAAATCCAGAAAAAACACATTATATAAAGGTTAGAAATTGATTTGCATTTCAGTGAGTGAAATAAGTATTTGATCCCCTACCGACCAGCAAGAATTCTGGCTCCCACAGTTTGGTTATATGCCCACGTGGAACACAGATTAGTCCTGCCACTTTAAGAAGTTACTCCTAATGTCAGCTCGTTAGGTGTATAAGACATCTGTCCACACAATCTGTATCTTCCATTCCAACCTCTGCCACCACCATGGGCAAGACCAGAGAGCTGTCAAAGGATCTGCACAAGGCTTGAATGGGCTACAAGACCATCAGCAAGAAGTTTGGTGAGAAGGAGACAACTGTTGGTGCAATTATTCGGAAATGGAAGAAATACAAAACAACCATCAATCGGCCTCGTTCTGGAGCTCCGTGCAAGATCTCGCCTCCTGGGGTAAGGATGATCATGAAAGGTGAGGGATCGGCCCCGAACTACACGGGAGGAGCTTGTTAATGATCTTAAGGCAGTTGGGACCGTGCACAGTCACCAAGCAAAAAATTGATAACACACTACGAAGACTGGACTGAAATCCTGCAGTGCCCGCAAGGTCCCCCTGCTCAAGAAGGCACATGTACAGGCCCGTTTAAAGTTTGCCAAAGAACATCTAAATGATTCAGAGAAGGCTTGGGAGAAAGTGCTGTGGTCAGATGAGACCAAAATTGAGCTCTTTGGCATCAACTCGACTCGCCGTGTTTGGAGGGAGAGAAATGCTGACTATGACCCCAAGAACACCATCCAAGCACGGAGGTGGAGACATTATGCTTTAGAGCTGTTTTTCTGCTAAGGGTACAGGACGACTTCACCAAACTTACAAAATCAGCAGGGGATCAAATAAATATTTTCCCCACTGTAGGCTGTGGAAAATTTTCTTTTTATTTAAAATAGCTTTAAAATCTCCATTGTCAATAAACAGCAGGTTGGCATTGTGACAACTTGCCCCATATTCCTATAGTAACAGTTAAAAAGGTCAATCGTTTTTTTTTCTTTTTGAATCAAGACTCTTAAATATATGCCAACAAATATATGTGACATATATGAAATATATGAAAAAAAATATTCCACATGTGTATTTTGTATATTTAAAGAGTTTATTTAAATTTATTTAAAAAAAAAAATCAATGCTTGATTATTTATTTTTTTTTAGAAATGTTTATGAATTTATAATGTAACTTTAGTAAGTAATGTAGGGTTAGTTAAGGTAAAAACATGCACATTTTCACTTTTCATGTAAATATTAGTTTTAAATAATATTAAAATGATTCTAAATTATTCTCAGTTTTTATAATAACAATAATAACCGCTGAAATGAGGTTAACCCAAATGTATATTTATTTTGAAGTTAACAAGGGATCTCTTTTTGTAACAAAAAGCAAATACTGTCTAAACAGACCATCAAACAAACGGAAGCCACAATGATGATGATCTCAAGTTCAGTCCCGTTCAGATGACATCATCGGCCATAATACAAATCAACATACACATGAATAGCTCCACATTATATGAATTTTTATTCAAAAGGAAGACTTATCATTCAAAAAAAATGAATCTAACATAACTCCAATAACAAAACGTAATGACACTTTTAGTGTTTCCTGCATCTGTTTTGGTGGGCCAGTGTGAAAATCTTCCACGCGTGCAAATACAGACACACACAATACATGTGTGCTAGTGTCTGTGCTCACTTGAGTGTGTAGACTGTTCAAGGCAACACTAATCACATCAAATCATAAAAAATGGCAGATTATCAACAAAAACAAAGTCATGTAAACTATAATCTAGCTACACTTTCCAGTCTAAGACATTTAGCATCATAAAAAATAAAATGATAAAAAAAGAACACAAAATTACAAACAACAGTATGCACATCTACAGCAGAATAAAAGTAAACATAGTTTAAAATTAAGCACTGAGTTGATTGATAGCTAACTGGAAGTTCTACTGCTTGTACAGGAGAGAGAGAGAGAAAGAGAGAGTGATGTGTGGGAAATTAAATGCATTATCGCCATCTTGTGGCAGTCGATTGAACTGCTTATCTCAGAAACTCGTTGTCTGCGGGCATGAATGAGGTATGTGGAGGGAGTCTAAAGGTAGAGGATTGGTTTTAGTTGTAATTGGTCAGTTGCCACTCAGTTGTGACCTACATATGCATTAAACGAATGACCCTATCATCCCACGTGAACAAAAACATGCCTAAACTCCCATATACATGGCAGATGTGATTTAAGAGTCCCTTTTATTGGGGCCACATGACACTATCATTAAAACATGCATTTCTCTATGTAAATATCATTCTATTTTTTTGACCATTTGCCATGTTTAAGACAAGAAACGTTGGGAAGAGTCCAGGGGAATGGAATAGAAAATTGTCACAAGCCGGATTCAAACATACACCACTTGCATTAACACCACAGCTCAACCCCCAAGTCACCGTTCTAACCATCTCCTCTAAGTAAACAGCTTTTGAAAAGGAATACATGATTCAGATATGACAACTGGCCATTTTCTGTAATCCAATCTGTCACCAGATCAGTACAGATTAGGAAAAAATCAACTGGATACATAGTGAAGCAGAATTCATGCATTTCAACAAATTTACACACAACACATTTAAAAGTAAAGTGTGTAATTTGTGTGCCTCCAAACTGAACCAGACTGCATGCCATTGGTTGAGTTTACGTTATAAGTCAGGAGGTCGGGATGCTCAAACTAACAGAGCAAAGTTTTGATAGCGCCACAGGGAATCAACCTACAAATGGCTTATTTACAGTCTATTCGCATTAAGATTGGATAGGAGGAAGGCGTTTAACATGCTAAAAATGACACACATCACCTTTAACAAGCCAGATTTAATTAAATTAAATGATTAATCAACTGTTTTTTATTAAATAGAATCACCTCAGTTTATTGCATGATGCAACCGATTTACCCCCCCAAACTCCCTCCAAATGTCACCATGGTCTGTGGTTACAATGATGGCATAAGTCTAGAAATAATCTAGCTTTATGACTGTAAGAGGAGAAGAGCAGACAGGAGAGAATTGTGGAAGAGAGTGGGAATATGATCAGTAAGAGAAAGAGAAAGAGAGCTGTAGTTTGTTACCCTGCTTTTTCTGAGTCCCGCCACTGAAGAACAGAGGAGATTCATTCCTGAAGGTGGCGTGAGTGAGCAAATCACTGGGCCTGATACAATGATACATCAGTGCACAATGTAATACATTTAGATTGAGAACCTCATAATAATAATAATAGTAATAATAATAATCTTCCTAGGTTGATGAAATGACACTAGACTGTTGCACCAACAGTAAACACCAGAAATCAAACTTGGAGAACGTAATTCATACAAATATTACTGAAGTTTTCATAACACCATGTTTTTTTTTTTTATAGTCCAGATATTTTTGTTATCAACTCAGCATTTCCACACATGTAAGAAAACCAGGCAGGCTCAGAGAGTATATACAATGGTTGCAGGGGCTGCTGTTTTTGCCTGGTTATTCTGTGTGTGTGTGTGATGTAATGTAACAATGATGTGATGTATATGAGTGTGTGTGTGTCTGTCAGTGATATTGCAGGGTTGAATGGTTTTAATTCATTCAATTTTGTATTCAGTTTAAGACACTTTTTGTTCAGTGTGTGTTTGCATGCGTGCCTGTTACGAGTCTGTGTCTTTCAATGGTTTTGGGAGCAGACCGTGTGTCTTGAAAGTTCATGCATGCACATATCACTGTGCAACATGTGCCAGAGTACATCTGGACCGTTTGAAAGGAATCATGGGAGGCGAGGGAAGTGTGGTCACTGTCATATTGCCTGTTGTTATTGTTTACGTCTCGTCATGTGTGTTTGCTCATGTGTCATTATGGTAATGAAGAAATAGTGTGTGTGTGTGTGTGTGTGTGTAAATGAGCCCACGCGCCAACTCTCACATCCCTGTCCTGTGTGTCGAAGTGTATTTGAGGTCCTTCAGTTCCAACAGGTCAACACTTGTTTTGTTTTTTTCCTCACATATATCCTCTCTCTTCTGCCATCCCTGTTTTTCCCTGTCAGGCTGAGTGAACTGAAGCATGTGAAGGAAGAGGGTGCAGAGGGATGGATCTCTAGATGAAGTACTCTTTCTTGTCATCCATCCCAGAGTGGCCACCCTCAGCGTTAATGATGGCTGTGTCTGCATCAGGAGCATCATCGGAACCTTTCGCCTCATGAGTCAGGTACGTACCTGAGAGAGAGACAGAGAGAGAGTGAAACCACAGCTTTATCCGTATTATTTGTTACTGCTATTTGTATATCATCTTCATTAATTGTATATTTTCAGTGATTTGTTGAATGCTTATTTTATATTATACTGCATATTATTATTACATTATGATTCTTTTTCTCACAGTTTTTGTTGCGTGTATTGATGTTTTTAAAAAGTGAAATATAAATGTTTTCAATGTTGATAATAATTAGAAATGTTTCTTGAGCAGGAAATCAGGAAATTTCTAAAGGATCATGTGACACTGAGGACTGGAGTAATGATGCTGAAAATTCAGCTTTGCATCTCAGTAATAAATTACTTTTTTTTTTTTAAATATTAAAATAGAAAACATTTGAAATTGTTTTTAAATTGTAATAATATTAGTACACAATATTATTTCACTATATTTCTGTTTTACATAGAGTGTTCAAATAAATGCACCGTAGGTGAACATAAGAGACTTAAAATACAATTAAATGTAGCTTCTAACTAAAAGTTTCATTTTATTTTACTTATTATATTGTATTTAATTAAAATAATTTTAGTAAACAGTAAGAGAAAAATAAATGTTGAAGACTGGGGTTTTCTATTAATATCACAGCTTAATTAACCTTAAAGGGATAGTTCACCCAAAAATAAACTCTTTCTTCTGTTGAACACAAAAGAAGATATTTTGAAGAATGTTTGCAACCAAACAGTTGCTGGTAGCCATTGACTTCCATATTACAGTAAAAAAAAATCTACAGAAGTCAATGGCTACCAGCAACTGTTTGGGTACAAACATTCTTCTAAATATCTTCTTTTGTGTTCAACAGAAGAAAGAAATTCGTACAACATGATGTTGAGTAAATTATGACAAAATGTTCAATTTTGGGTGAACTATCACTTTAACAAATTAATATTCTGGCGGGAAGACTAATGTATCGCTTCTGACAGCTTTTCTTGAGTTGTACGCTGTAAGTCATAGATAGATACACTCTTAAAAATAAAGGTGCTTCAAAAGGTTCTTCAAGCGATGCCATAGAAGAACCATTTTTGGTTCCACAAAGAACCATTCAGTCAAAGGTTCTTTAAAGAACCATCTCTTTCTTACCTTTTTGTAATCTGAAGAACCTTATTTCGCCACAAAGAACCTTTTGTGAAACAGAAAGGTTCTTCAGATGTTAAAGGTTCTTTATGGAACCATTTAGACAAAAAGGTTCTTCTATGGCATCGTGAAGCACCTTTATTTTTAAGAGTGTAGAGAGGGAAAGCTGCAGCACAGCTGTGATGATCTGTTTACAGTGTCCCTCTGTGCAGTGACACAGTCTGTCAGTCTGTCAATTGCTGCTTGCACTCTGCAAAATAGCTGTTTTTAAGGGGATATAAGATGGGACAGAATTGTTCTTGCATTTTTTAAATAAAAGAAACTGATGTACTATACAGAAATCTAAATTTCAGAACTCCCTCCCCAGTCCACCTAGTCCACTAAACTATAAAAATACCTCATTCAGAGTGTGTCACAGTTATGATGACAGAAGTACCAGTACTGGAGTTAAGGTGTAACATACAAGTAATTTATTCAGTATTTTTATTTTATATTTATCTTTTATTTATTAAATTTTTTTAAATAAAATTAATGCATTCAACTCTGCTGTTCTAATGAAAATCAACTATCTTGTTTTTTTGTAGACTGGGAACAAGAATGAACAGAAAAGGCAACATTTTGTCAACAATGTTCTATTTGAGCATGCAATTATTTATTTATTTATTTTACCATGATTCCTGTGTTAATACATTTATGCTGTAATGGAAAGTAAGAGATAGGTAAGAGATGTACTCACACACTTTTAAATGCAAAAGTACCTACAGTAATGTGTTACTTTCCATAAAATGTAATGATGCAACTTGAGGTAACAATAATGTAACATGTTGCTTTTAAAATTTACTTTCATCAACGCTATATAAGCAGAGATAATAAAGGTCATTTGCGTATAGATATCTTAAAGGTACAGTAGCAATTACAATTCCAAAGGTCAGAGAGAGGAAAATGGAAATAGTTTTGCTGCAAAAAAAAACTCAAATCTTGACTATAGATAATACTTTAAGCAAAATATTACAATTACTATTAGATATTGATCATATACAGTATTTATACTGAGCAATTGATATGCATTTATATAAAAGCAAGGACATGCAACCTTGTATGTACCTGTACTTTGTCCTCTCATTCTGTGTTCATAAACTCAGCATTTTCATTTCATTTTCTTTTTCCAAGCCCATTTTTCTCATTTTTTTTTTCTAGGTGCACCATTGCAGTGAGACACGTGGTTCATTATAAGCATAATGTCTCAGTCAACAATGAGATTTTGAGTCAAGTTTCTAGAATGTTTGTCAAGACAAAATCCATAAAAAAATCATAAAAAAAAAAAAAAAAAAGCTGCTGATGGGGCAGGATGCTGCCAGACACTCTGTCAGGAATTTGAACAGTCCCAGAAGGTTATAAGCCCTCCAGACGCCTCAGGTGTGTGTGTGTGTGTGTGTGTGTGTGTGTGTGTGTGTGTGTGTGTGTGTGTGTGTGTGTGTGAAAGACAGCGAGGGATTTCTTTGTGTCTGATTAGGGTCGTGTGTGAGTGTGTGGTACCTTTGTGTCTGATGAGGTATCTGCCGAGGACGATGAGGAGACAAAGCATGATGAAGACAATAACAGCAACCACTCCACCAATCACAGCATGGTCTACTCCTAAAGGGGTGGACATCACTGTGGGGTCTGAGAAATGGACAGAAAGACAGGTAGATAGTCAAAGCTGTGCAAAGAGGACAATCAGAATGACCACCGATGTCTTAACAATACTGACCAGGCAAAATCAGAGAAAAGTTCGAGAGAGACTTCAGCTGAAACTCAAAAGACTGAAAAACATATAATACTTATTCATCCCCACCACATCTTTACAAACACAGCAGAGGTCATTCATGTATGGTAACACTGGAAATCCTCACAATCTGATTTTGATTCAGGGAGTCACAATGCAAATTACAAACAATACGTTTTCTCCAGTTGAGTTTCCATAATTGATTCTGCTAGTTTCCTGTTTATCTCTGAGAAGCTGCTTTGACACAATCTGTATTGTATAAAGCGCAATAGAATAGCGCAATACTTGACTTGACAAAACAGTCCTCTAAAAGGCATAAAGTTGCAAATATTTTGAAATGTAACAAAAGACCTAATGATTCGCTTCGCTGTATATGGAGACTGTACAATAGATGGAAATGTGCAATATGAATTTGAAAAGTTATGTTCTCAGAATACTTCAATTTAAATGTGACATGAATCACTGATGGAAATCCGTGCTAAAACTATTCAGGTTGATGCAAATTTTCATCTGGATTTGAGAAAAGTTTGCATACTTGAATAAAAGTGAATCCCAATTATTCACAACCAGCTGCTCTGACAAAAACACAACCCCTCTGATAATACTACACATGCTTTTTCCATAAACAACATTATTTAAAATGATATTACTATAAATTTAAAATCCTTTTTTCTTCCCGATTACAGATTCCCTTGAGAAAGCATTGCAATGTGTGAATCTTTTTCCCAGCCCTAATGCACAATAATGCTTATCTTTGGAAACAATTTGAAGCGATTTCTTCTTAATAGGGCCCTTGACATTTTCAAGCGAACTGAACTAAAATATCTCACACAAGATGATAATTACTGATTGTTTATTCCCATTTAAATATAGCGAAAAGAAGCACAGGTCTTGTTTCCTGTTATTTCACATTATGCATTCTACCATTCAAAAGTTTGAGGTCAGTAAAAAATTTTTCATGTTTTTTAAGAAGTCTCTTATACTCATCAAGGCTGCATTCATTTGATCAGAAAACAATAATATTGTGAAATATTATTACAATTTAAAATAACTGTTTTCTATTTTAATATATTTTAAACTGTAATTTATTCCTGTGATTACAAAGCTGAATTTTCAGCAGCATTACTCCAGTCTTCAGTGTCACACGATCCTTCAGAAATCATTCTAATATGATGATTTCATGCTTAAGAAACATTTATTATTATCATCAATGTTGACAGTTGTACTGCTTAGTATTTGTGTGGAAACTGTGATGAATTGTTTTTTATTCTTTGTTGAATAAAGTTCAAAAGTACAGCATTTATTTGAAACAGAAAAATATTTTACTTAAAAAAATAAATCTTACTGACCTCAAAACTTTGAATGGTAGCAGTTCATATAATGTGTGAAGTATATTTGTAATGGGCTAGCAATTTACTACAATGTCATTTTCCATCTACCGTGAAGCCCCAAGAGCCGCTGACCTCTCTGTTTGAAAGGGAACACATGAATAATCAAAAGCAAGATTTCAGCGAATCTATCATAAGCTTCAGTGACTTTGCCTGGACTCAGAGAGCATGAACGACGTCCATCACTCCCACCCACAGCACGATCTCTGTCTCCTTCTCAAACAATACTCCATCAAAACAAGACAAGTTAACAGTCACCCTGACGCTCGCACACTTCAGGAGAAGAAAAAAACAGGGGGCAATAGATGAGAGCAGAGAGGATGAAGGAGGACAAACAGAGTGAGTGCTGAGTGACACGACAAGAAGCCCTAAGAGCGACAGAGAGAAAAGAGAAACAGATAGAAACAAAGAGAGGGAAAGTGAAAGAGAAAAAAAAACAGAAAAAGTAGAAAGCACTAAAGCTCTTTTACAGGGGTCATTTCAGTTAAATAGGACTGTTTAATATTATTAATTATGGAGGCACTGATATTAAAATAATTATTGGCTGGTATTGATACATTAAAAATATCACATTAAAACTAAAATCAATAATTTTCAATGCTACAGCTTTGTTTATTAGATATTTATATTGTTTTTTATTGATTTATTTATTATCATTTTTAAAGAATAATTTTAAGTCAGTGTTAGATGATGGCAAAGGAAATCTAAATGTACAATTAGAGGATATTGTGATGATGCACTTTGATAAAATCATTACAAGGCAGACTGTATATGCCTGGTTAAACATACTGGTAAACTTCACATTAAATCAGGCCTGTTTTTCAAGGCTTTATAGCTATTTTTGGTGAGGACCCAAGCTCTTTGATGTCAAAGTTCAGTGAATTTCATTGGTGTTTTCTGAACTCAAGCATACACAAAGAAATCATACTCAAGTCCCTTTTTGAAAATGGCATTCCAGATTTGGTTCATACAGAATAACTGATGTGCTATTGATGATGATTTGCTTCCAAATCATTTCTCATTGCGGTTTTACTCTGCAGAAATTGACTTTGGCGAGCATCTCACATTTTTTGCATCTTTTGCAATGCATTAAATAGTGAATTAGTTTGGATAATAATGTTAATAAAAAAACGGAATGAACAATTTTTCAATATGTGGAACCTTCTCGTTCCAAGCCGTTAGCTAGCTATAATGGTAGAGAGATGCTGTTAGTACTCATGGCAGAGAGAAGAGGGTGTTTAGCCTGAAAAAAAAAAAATCATGGTCAACTTGAGTCATATTTAGGGTGGCCATATGTGCCATTTATACGGGACACATCCTGGCCATGATTTTTATATTGCCTAAAACATCCAAAGTAGTTTGACCAATAACATGCAATATCAGCAGCGTTTGATACTATTAATCACTCTATTCTTATTTCCCGTTTAGAACACTGTATCGGTCTGCAGGGAAACGTTCTAAAATGGTTTATATCTTATTTGACTAACTGTTCTTTTTCAGTTAACATTGATAATTTTGCTTCTTCCACGGCGCATCTTGCTTGCGGAGTTCCGCAGGGATCCATTTTAGCTCCAACTTTATTCTCTTTATATATGATACCTTTATGCAAATATTCTTGCAAAACATGGGATAGCGTTTCATTGCCACGCTGATGACACACAAATATACATGCCAATTAAAAAAGTGACCCGGACACGAAAATATGAACATATCACTCCCATCCTTGTTTCGTTGAATTGGCTACCTGTAAAATACAGAATTGAGTTCAAAATCCTGGTCATGGTATTTAAGTCTATTAATAACCGCACTCCACCTTATCTTGCAGATCTCCTCGTAAGACATGTTCCCTCTAGATCACTTAGATCCAGTGATCTGGCACTCTTAGCAGTGCCCAGAACTAGATCTAGACTCAAGGGTGATTGTGCGTTTGTGGTGAGCGGTCCAAATCTGTGGAATAAGCTGCCACTAGCTATCAGAAAGGCACCGACTCTGGGTACATAATCGACCAATCGTGGCGCGTCGCGCGTAAGAAGGTGAGAATGATCAAAGCGATGCAAATACGCGCACGTGTTTGTACGACTTGAAGCTGCGCACCGATCGTTGTATGACACCAAAGTACCGCGAGAGCGATTTGAAAGCATGTATGATCACCCTAGTCATATTTGTCTTTCAAGTTAATCATATAATGACCCTGATATGGTGTCTTTATATGAATTTTATGTTGGTGAAATTAATATGTAATGCTGGATATAAAAACCTTCTTTTATAAATTGCTAATTTTTCATGGCAATCTCCAAATATAGCTCTCTCCAAACTGTTACAACAAAATGTTGAAGATTACCACCAAGGCAATCAATTTATTATGTGATAAACAGTTTGATTCATTACAAAAATAGTGTAAGGTCTCTGTCTTGTGAAACAGACCCCCATAAACTGTGGATTCACCACGTGAATTATGAAACAGAAATATTACAGAAGGCCCAGCACATGACTCCAATATTCTGGGTCAACTTCCTGTCGGTCTTGTCTCATCTACTCAGAGGAGTGATGAAAAAACCGATCCAATCAGGAGATAACACAGAGATCTTTTGTGTCAGGACTATAACCTATAGATACCTCGTGATGTCTTGTGACCGCCAATGAATGGAACTATTATATCCAACAGGAAAAGGATGAGTAAATTAACTGACGCCCTCAGGCCTGCAAACACGGGATCTATACGTGACCATCACATGACTCTTAACCACAGCATGACTTTTATGGACCATAGGACTTCTGTCTTTTAATCTACTTTCCAGAAAAGCGCGCGTTTCTCCTGTCACAGACAAAGAAACAGAACGTACACAGACTATTCAAAAGACAATCATTTAAAAGTATAAGAGGGCAACTATATTCACAAATAATATGTTTTGTGCCTTTCTGTGCTTTCTGTTTGATGTGTTATTGAAACCTATGATATCTTAATCTTTGCCTTATAACTTTTCCTTTTAGTAGATAAGATTATTAATGTGTATGCAAAATACCTGTTATTTGATGTTGAACAAAAGCTCGTTTTATTCCCACGACATTGAAATGAGTGAAAAGCTGTTATTTTGAACAGTGTGTGTTGTACGACACTTTATAGAAGTATTAACAAACTCTTCACAGAGATATTTCCCCACATGATAAAGTGAAGCATCAGGTTAATGTATGCACGCTCCGCCTTGCAACAGCGTCCGATTGGAAGATCTGTGGGGCGGACCAAAGTCAGCCTCCTTAAAAATGGACACAAAGCCCTCGCTCGCTCGCTCGCTCGCTCTCTCTCTCTCTAGAACTGTGGCTTTTCGCCTTGGTGACCGCGCGACAAAGCGCTCCCATGCCGTAACACCACGAGCGAGACTCCAAAACTCAAACACTTCAATTGAAACTTCGTGATTGCCAGAGATCTTCAAAAGCCTAAAGTCTTGCAAACTCAGACTTTTTAGAAGAACTGCTCAAGCCTCTGCGTCATCAAGAAACCAACCAATCGCGACCGTTGATAAAGTGTAAACTATCAAATTGGAAATCAGTTCTAATCAGGTTGACTTCGAATTTTCAGATTCGATTCCGTTCAAAACCTGAGCTAGAATAATAATGATTAATTCCCTAAGAAAATTAATCTGACATTACAATAGTTTATTCAGGCATGTCCTCTGAATTCCATACAAATAGAACAGGCTCTGGCACCCCATTGGGATCTCACAGTGTTGCACATTTTTGAACAGAGATTGAAGTCCCCCCCTGGGGGAGGGTCTCTGCGTGATGCACTCATGTTGATGATGCAAATGTACGGTTTAAATTAGTACAATGTGGAAAAAGACCTGCGAGGAGGGGACAGAATCGAACTTGCAGCATGTAAAGTGACAGAAATCGGCAGTCCTTATCAGTCAGGCTCTGCAAATGACCAGATTGATAAAGGGGGAAGATACATTTCCAGGCTCAGATGATTCACTGCTGATGACTTCCACCAGGCTACAGATTGTTGGACCTCCCTGTAGCAAAAACTGAGTTGCATCAATAATATCTCATTCATTCTTCTAAGCGAGATTGTTTTCAAATTGGCTGAAAATGCAGTTTTTGGCATCAACCTAATTCAGTTCTAAGCTTTCAATGAACCAGCAAATTTACGCTGATATTAATAGTTTTCCATGTAATATAAAATGTTTTGCCTTCATTAACAATGTTCCTGCACCATTAACTATGTTCATAATGACAGTGCAATTCAACAGAGTTGTTGCTAAAAAAAAAAAACACCCAGATCCATCATAAATTAAGACTAACAGACAAATGAAAGAGAGACAGGACAATACTGAAAGAAAAAAGAAGGAAAAGAAAGAAAAAGAGAGACAGTTAGAGAGAGATGTGACAATACCTGCAGCGCTTACTCCGGCTTCTTCTCAAGAGGATGAAGGGATGAATGGAATGGATGGGTGGATGGATGAGTGGAAGCACGAGATGTGAAGCAAGAAAAGGAACAAAGAGAAACGGTGAAAAAATGTGCGCAAGCATGCATGTGTGTGCATCTGAGTGCGCTCACTGAACACTACCAAAAAAATCTCAGAAGAGGATTTCACATAGCAAAATAATGAAATAATGAAGTGAATGTTTTCTGGAGGGAAGGTGTGGTGTCAGATTGTGTTTCTGGATAATCAGAGGCTTTGCCGTGAGATGTGCCTGGTTAAATCCTGCATTACAGTCAAAGCCGACAGCAGATCCTTCTCAACATGCTTCTGTGATACTGCACTGGAGATCTCAATATACATCTCTATCTTTCTCACACGCACAAACACAACCTGCTCGATTATGAAGTGACACATTCAAGCTGTTCCACCCACACACCAGGGATGGGCATTTTGTTCGTTTTGTCTAAACAGGTACGTGAAAGATGAATCAAGCAAGTTCTCAAGTGCAGAGGTGGGGGGTGTCTACACATCTGTGTGTGTTTTTTTTTTTTTTAGACATGTACATGACACACATTAGAAGAAACGGTTATAATAATGAATCATTTACTTACCCTCATGTCGTTCCAAACCTGTATGACTTTCTTCTGTGGAACAATAATACATTTTTTAACTAAATCAAATGAAAATATCCAACTCAAAAGAAGAATGATTGATTCATACTGTAAATCGAACAGTTATCTCTCATGAAGAAAAGCTACATTGTATTCTCAATGAATAACGATTAAAATAATTAATCATATGGCTTCAGAAGACAGATATACTTCTCTGTTAATTTCATGGTGTTTTTGTTATTAATGGAGCTTGACAGCCGCAGTTCTCATTCACATTTATTATATTCACCTGAACATTCACTTTTTCTGTTCCATGAAAGAAATACATCATACAGGTTTAGATCAAGATGAGTAAATAATGACATTTTCATTTTTCTGTGAGCCATCTATTTAACTGGACACACTCAAAATTTATGTCGTTAGGTCATGACCATGTCATATACTATGTTAACAAAAAAAGAAGGTACTGCCAAAACAATATACACTTCCATTTAAAAGTTTGGAGTCGGGAATTTTTTTTAGGTTTCTGAAAGAAGTCTATTATGCTCACCAAGGCTGCATTTATTTGATAAAAAATACAGGAAAAACAGTAATATTCTGAAATAGTATTAAAGTTTTAAATAACTGTTTTCTATTTTAATATATTAAAATAGAAAACATTAATGATATTAGGAATAAATTATATTAATATAATTTATTCCTGTGATGGAAAGCTGAATTTTCAAACATGCTGATTTGGTGCTTAAGAAATATTTCTTATTATTATCAATGTTGAAAACAGCTGCTTAATATTTTTCTGGAAACTGTGATACATTTTTTAGGATTGTTTTGATGAGTAGACAATATAAAAGTCTTTACTGTCACTGTCAATTTAATGCATACTTGCTGAATAATTTTTTTTTTTTTTAAAGTACTGACCCCAAACGTTTGAACGGTAGTTTTGTTATATTAACAATAGCTTTATTATATTAAATATTCTTATATTAAATACATAATGCAAAAATAAATAACTAAATTACAAAACAACCCCCTTTTATCTGATCTGTGCATGGTTGTTACTGGATTTTGTTCAGTGTGAAATGTTTTGAAGTTTAAAACTCAAGGCAATTATTTTCAGGGGTGGGGGTGAAGGATGGAGCAAGGAATCAATGGTGCAGGAGATGGGCTTTTATTAATAATAAAATAAAACAAAACAAGCAACAAAAACTACCCCATAGGGGAAAATCACAGCTGGCAACAAGACAAGGCTTGGCTAGGCTAGGCAGGACAAGGCAGGACAGGACACATCCAGGATACATACGACAACGAACTGGCACAGGACTGCAAACACAAGGAGAATAAATGGGGAGCAAATGAGGAGGCTAATGAGGGAAACACAGGTGGGGCAAATTAACCAATAATCAGGTAACAAGATGGGTGGGATCAAGACAATTGACATGAGAGCACATGGCACACAGGAAACAAAGACAAAAGCCATGTGCTCACACAAAACAAAAACACAAGCACATAGCCAGCAAAACAATCACAAGCCATGTGCTCTAACAAAACACGACACGAACACGCAGCCAATGAGAATACTCATAAGCCACGTGTTCACACAAGACATGACAACATGAAAGCACACAGCCAATGAAAAACACGAGCTGCGTGCAACAACACAAGACAACAGTGAAGCACGCGGCCGAACACAAACCGTGTGCAACACAAAACAACACAATCCACGTGGACAGAAGAGCGTACAGCCCGAGTGAACTCGAGACCGCACGCTCCCACAACAAGACAGAACATGGAGCGCGAGTGTCCGGACCCCGACACGAAACCGAAACTCAACAAGACGTGAGTGCCGGGATCCGAACACCACACTCCAACATGAAACAAGGAAACAGGGCACGTAGACGAGAGCGCACAGCTCGAGCACACTCAAAGCCGCGCACTCACACAAAAACAGGACATGACAGGAGTGTCAGGTGTCAATTATTGTGTTGTCATGGTTGATCATTGCAGTCTCTTCTCAGAGCACTCGGGTAATCATGCCCATCCCTATCCCACACACACATCAACCTGTAACTGTGATCAGTGGCACAGCAGTGGCATGTTAAACCACTGTTAGGTTTGTGTATGTGTACGATGAATTACCTGTAAAGGTGTGCACTCCATTCAGCCGAGGAACAGATGATGGAGTGGCAGGGGAGGAGGAGGGGGGTGAGGGAGGGGTGCGGGCAGGAACAGAGGAGGGCAGAAGAGTGAGATCAGGGAAGAGAGCGTTGGAAAGAGAGGTGGTGAGAACTTCAGGAGAAGGAGGGAGAGTGGAAGGAGCAGAAGTGAAAGGAGGGAGAGTCGAGGAAAAGGTAAGAGTGGATGTGGGGAAGGTAGTGGAAGACGATGAAGATGAGAGTGGAAGAAGAGTTTCGTCTTCAGAAGATGGTGAAACTGAAGTTTCAGGAGAAAATGTGGAAAAAGCAGAGAATGAAGGGAGAGTGGGGGTGAGAATAAAGAGGTCTGAATCTTCCTGGTCTTGGAAGATGAAGGAAAATGATGGATGGAGAGATGGATGATGGATGGGAGGGAAAATGGAAGAGGAAATAAAGAACATATCATGCAAAAAGAGAAACAAAAAGAAAGGAAAGTAAAATTCAGAAAAAGGAGACGTGAAAGTAAACATAAATCAGCAGAAGAAATAAACAATGACGAAAACACCTTTTCTCTCTATTCCTCTCTCTTCCTCGTTTGTCTCTCGTTAATTACCTTGTACCAGAAGAGTGTGTGTTACGTCCCCCATTCCGATCCCGTTATCAGCCTGGCACTCATAAACGCCATTATCCGACTTGTTGAGGGATTCGAAGTGCAGGAACGCATCATCCACCTTTGTCATCGGGGGGAGCTCTCCGTCTTTCCTCCGCCACACAAACGCAGTCGGTCTGAGAGAGGGAGAGAGAGAGATTACATTACAAAACGGACCACATATACAACGTTTTGAAATTTCACATCAAAAGCAAAGCAGAAAGAGTCGTTTAATTGAGCAGATTGAAGGGTTTTGCAATTTGGCACACTATCAAAAGAACTGAGGAGCACAGAGGAATGCACTGGAAAGCGTCCCGAACGCAGCGAAGCTCAGTCAACATGTCAAGTGAAACGAACCAGACTTGATCAAATGGGAAAGAAAACCATGTGGCCAAACCACCAGTGCTGCTGCGACACACCTGACCTGGAGTGTCTTACGAATCAAACAGAAAAGTCAATGTCCAAAAACAGCTGCTAGCATTTAACACAATCAGGATTGAAAGTCAATTTCTGGGTGGACTACTACAAGCATGGTGGGTTTTGGGACAGGGCCAATGATTGTGTTCAAACAGATTTCCTAAACAATCTCCCTGTTTTCCATTGGTTAACCAAACCGCTAGCCCCGCCCCAACATCCTGCTATTGGTTGAGCCAATGTTGCCGTGTCGTGCTGGTCTGGTACTCAAATGAAAAGAGAAATGTTTTGATAGCGTCACAGTGTTCACACTTCCTGAGGACGTCTACCTACTGCTGCGATAAAAGAAGGTATTTTAGCATCAAAAAATTACACACTTCACCTTTAAAATCCTCTCAATATGCCAAAGTAACTGTGGCTTTTCTCTGTGGGCTCATACCGTGTCCAAATCAGCGTGTCTGTGTGTGTTACAGGGATTTAGTGAACTACAGTGAGGACGCAGGCGTATCATTATTTGAGCGTGTGAATAATCCAAACAATATCATTTTTTATTGATGCTGATAGAGCAGTGTAGTTATGACTAAACTAATATCTCAGTCTACTTGCAATACAGTAAGACACCAAAACAAGTAAGGAGATGTTATATGAGAGGTAGCGTTTCACATAGAAACTGGCTAATATTTGATAGACACAAAGCATTACAATTGAATTCATTACAATTTAAAATAACTGTTTTCTATTTAAATATTTAAAATGTAATTTATTCCTTTGATGGCCAAAACTGAATTTTCAGCATCATTACTCCAGTCTTCAGTGTCACAAGATCCTGCAGAAAACATTCTAATATGCTGATTTGGTGCTCAAGAAACATTTCTTATTTATTATCAATGTTGAAAACAGTATAAATATTTCTGTGGATGGTTTGATGAATAAAAAGTTCAAAAGAACAGCATTTATTTGAAATCGAAATCGTTTGTAACACTAAATGTATTTACTGTCACTTTTGATCAATTTAATGCATCCTTGCTGAATAAAAGCATTACATTCTTTAAAATAAAAATAAAATCTTACTGACCCCAAATGTTTTATAGACAATAATCAAAAGATCATTACAGAACCAGTAAATGCTGCCTCTGATACCACAGGTATCTTCTTCATATACAGCCCCCCTATTTGTGCTTCCATTCCAGTAAGGAAGAGATAGAGCGTAAAAGCAAATGAGAAAATGTGACAGAGAGACACTATGGGTTGTCTAAATAGGGTTGTATAGCTCTCGGTGTGGTATTAATGGATGTCAGGAGCAATAATGAGCTGTAATGTGATCCTGCACCAGTAGAGGGTGATATTCAATTACATTAACTTCTATTTCCAGGGAGAAATATTTATGTGATATAACCAGGCTTAAATAGCTAAAAATGTAATAAATATATCTGAAATGGAAACTAAACTAACAAACTCAATGGAAATGAAATAATATATATATTGAATTTATTATTATACTCTTATACCTTTTGTTCTTTAATATTTTGAATTGTTTTTAGCTTTATTTTTTGTTTTTCATTTAAATGTTAAGTTTTGAGATTTTGTTGTATGCATTTGTCATTTTTATTTAATCTCTTTATTTTTAAAATGTGTATAGGTAGTATTTATAAAGTTTTAGCTTTTAGTTTTGGATCTGTTTTTAGTTGTTTTAATACTACAATTGATTGCTTCTGTTGTCCTCATTTGTAAGTCGCTTTGGATAAAAGCGTCTGATAAATGACTAAATAATAATAAATAATAAAATAATAACGTGTCATCCTTTAGCTCCAGTAAGGGAGTTGCTGAACTCACTGAGATCATAGAGGGTATGTTTTTAAAACAAACCTATGCAAGGATGTCTCTGATCCCTCTCCCTGGTTTGGGGGAGAGGGTTTCTCATGTAACATCAACACAAATATCACGGTGATACTGTTAAACCAAACCCTGCATATGTGTGTGTTTGTGTGTGTGTGTGTGTATGTTAAAGAGAGAAAGGAGATCAATAGGCTGACCATTTTCAGCTTCATACATAAAACATGAATGTCAAGGATGGAAATGAGAGAGAGAGAGAGAGAGAGAGAGAGAGAGAGAGATAAAACATGAATGTCAAGGATGGAAATGAGAGAGAGAGAGTGTGTGTCTTACTCTGGATTTCCGTTCCCCACACACTGCAGGAAAAACTTCTCTCCTTCTCTGGGCAGGTCACTCTCAGGCTGAATCGACACGCTTGGAGAAACTGAGAGACACACAGACACACATTTTGTTTCTGTTATCTTCATGTTTATGTATTATACAGTAGAGGTGGGCGGTATGGCCAAAATCCTACATCAAAGTATGGCTAATATTATAATCACAGAAACTGTGCTGGAAATTCAAGTTTATAAATATATATATATATACAGTGGGTACGGAAAGTATTCAGACCCCCTTAAATTTTTCACTCTGTTATATTGCAGC